TGCAGCAGCGAGAAGAGAACTTGTATATGCTTTCATCTCCGCAGGGATGCTGGTAGGAAACGCTCCCCGTAAACCTACCTTCAATTTACATGCACTAACAACAGGTGCGTGGCAATTAAACCCCTGATATCAAGGAGCAATGAATGGGCCTCCCACGGCCCATCAGCAAGAGGCAGGTGACCCCGGCCGCTACCCTGACTGCCTTCTATTTCGGCAGTGAGGCGGGTGCGCTCCGGGTGCTGCATGTGCACAGCACGTCTCAAAGCTATGACACCCAGCAAATCCTCCCGCTGCACAGTCACAGCGTGCTCCCAAGTATCCGTGTGTGAGGGCAACAGAGACTGTGGTTCTTCACTGAGAAAGTCGCCTTCTCACTGTTTACTCATTAACCTGGCTAAGGGAGCACACTGGTGGTTCAGGCCTGCGAAGGACGCCCATAGGTGCCTCTGCATGAACTTGAACTGGCAACTTTGGGGCTAGCAGACATACATACTAATTAACCCTTTGCACCACCTAGAAACGGCCTCTAATAGCAAGGAAACTAACATTCGGGAACCACAGAGTGCAGCGATTTAGAGCGGAAGCCAGGAGGGTGATTTAGTTTGCCACCCTCGGTTCCCTGATGCACGGCAAAGTTCTCCTTTCTCTGGAGCCTCCTGAGGGAGAACAGATATTCAGTAAAGGACGACACGAATCCCTTTCCTGACGGAGGCAATGCTAAGGAACCCAGTGCCCCGGCATTGTGGCCACAAGTCTCCCAGTGCCCAGAGACATACCTAGAAGCACCTTCCACACGAGGGCGCGGTACATGGACGGGAGTGGGAACCTCTGACTAAAAGTACGAAGTTTCTCGATATCTGCAGGAGAGAAAAACCCTTAGACCTCACTTATCATGGCTCACATCAAAGAAAGGGAGATGCCAACATCTACTGCAGTCTGAGAATCGTCAGATAAGAACATTTTTGGCCAGAGTTGCTGCAACGTCTGGAAACTGCAGACAGAACATATATTGGGCCAAATAAGAAGAGAGAGAAAAAACCTGGGTTCTTTAGAGGCCGGTCCTTCTTCTTCCTGGGTGTAATGCAATGTGAAAAATCTATGGTATCTCTTAAAGCCTGGCATTCTGCTGTTAGTCCAGTCCTGAACAACACAGCCAGTGACAC